TTTTGAGACAGAGTCTTACGCTATGGCGTAGGCTGCAGTCGCAGTGGCACCATCTCGGCTCACTGCAACCTCTGCCTCCCAGTTCAAACGATTCTCCTGCCTCAACCTCCCAGATAGCTGGGATTACAGGCACCCACCACCACATTTGGCTAAATTTTGTAATTTCAGTAGAGACGTGGTTTCACCATATTAGCCAGACTGATCTCGAACCCCTTGCCTTGTGATCCACCCGCCTTGGCCTCCCAAAGTGCTGGGATTACAGGTGTGAGCCAACACACCTGGCCACCTCCCTCTTTTAAGAATTCTTATGATTACATCTAGGACCCACCAGATAATCCAGGGTTGTCTCCCCATTTCAAGATTCTTAATTTAATTACACATGCAAAGTCTCTTTTGCCAGATAACATTCACAGGTTCTGGGCATCAGGACGTGGATAATTTTTAGGGTCATTATTGAGCCTATTGTAGGGGGTATCCACATTTGTAACTTTCCTGCCTCTCTGAAAGGGCATTGAGCCAAACCAGAGCAAACAGCAGGCCTCTGGACAGCAGAGAAAGAAAGCAATGGTTTGTTTTAGTTTCACAGGGAAGTTAAGTGTGGTGTGGGTCCCTTCTTTGTTGAAGCCAGAGCTGAGGAGGGAAACACTTTTGAGACTTCACAGGTATAGTTTATTTGCCTCAGTTGTTTTGACAGCCTCCTTTCACAGCTGCTGCGAGGTTGTCCACTCCAGTTGCCCAGGACTCCCAGCTCCTGCATGCCTACCTCCTCCAGGAAGACTGAGGGGCCTCAGTGTCCCCAACAATGCTGCACTGAGCTTGGAAGGCCAGTGCTCAGACTGCTCCACATTTGCAGGGTAAACAGGTTTGAAAAACAGCTGTCCATGTCCCATCCAGCTGATGATCGCAGATTTACAAATACTTTTTAAGCAAACTTGAGGCAAAATACACATAACAGGCAGGACACGTTGGCTCACGCCTCTAATCCCAGCACTTTGGGAGGCTGAAGCAGATCACTTGAGGTCAGGAGTTCGAGACCAGCCTGGCTAACATAGTGAAACCCCATCTCTACTAAAAATACAGAAATTAACTGGGTGTGGTAATGGGTGCCGGTAATACCAGCTACTTGGGAGGCTGAGGCAGGAGAATTGCTTGAACCTGGGAGGCAGAGGCTGCAGTGAGCCAAGATCGCACCACTGCACTCCTACCTGAGCAACAGAGAGAGACTCCATCTCAAAAAAACAAACAAAAAAACCCCCCCCACACACAATAAAATTTGCTATTTATTTTTCTTTTTTGAGACGGAGTCTCACTTTGTCGCCAGGCTGAAGTGCAGTGGCGCCATCTCGGCTCACTGCAATCTCTACCTCCCAGGTTCAAGCTATTCTCCTGCCTCAGCCTCCCAAGTAGCTGGGACTACAGGCAAGGGCTACCACTTCCAGCTAATTTTTTTGTATTTTTAGTAGAGACAAGTTTCACTGTGTTAGCGAGAATAGTCTTGATCTCCTGACCTCATGAATCACCCTCCTCGGCCTCCCAAAGTGCTGGGATTACAGGCGTGAGCCACCATGCCTGGCCAAATTTGCTGTCTTAACCATTTTTAAGTGTACAGTTCAGTAATGTTAATTATATTCATTAATTATATGTTGTGTAACCCATATCCAAGATGCTTTTCATCTTGTAAAACTGAAACTCTATACACATTAAACAGCTCCCTAGTCCCCTCTCCCCTGCCCCCTGACGACCACCATTCTACTTTCTATCTCTATGATTTTGATGTCCCTCGATACTCCTTAAGTGGAATCACATAGTATTTGTCCTTCTGTGACTGACTTATTTCAGTTAACATAATGCCCTTAAAGTTCATCCATACTGTGGTGTGTATCAGAATTTTCTTCCTTTTTAAGGCTGAATAACTTTTAATTGTAAGTATATATCATATTTTGTTTATTCATTCACCCATTGGTGGACACTTGGGTTGCTTTCACCTTTTGGCTATTGTAAATAATGCTGCAGTGAACATGCGTCTATAAACACAATGTTTTAAAAAGTGAGTGCTTATCCAGAAGCTTGGCTCTGTACTTCTTTTCAGTCTCATGAAAAGAAGATAGGAATGGACCCCCTCTCTCTGTCCCTGTGTAGGCTCCCTGCTGCATTCACAGTTCTAAACATAACCCCGAAAATCTCTGCCTGATCCAGACTGCACTCCATTTCCTAATCTTAGGGAAAGATTTGGCAAAGCAGGTTTCGGCTTGAGTATGGTAAATTTCCTCTACAGCAGGTCTTCCTCCTCTTGGAGAAATGAATGGATTTTCACCCCTAGGAGCCCTAAAACAGGTCAAACAGGGGCATCTTGTTGATATCCACTTGTTGATCTACTATGTATATTTTGGCTCTCGATGTATCATAAATCAAATGATCATTTGGTGCTGGAAGAAGGACCCAACTGGAAAAACGTTCTTACTTACACTTGGAGTCAGATAAAGTATTCATTTGACCAGATGAAATGGCGGACATTTGACCATTTTTAACCTGAAAAAAAAATGGCAAGTTAATACATAGTTCAGCCAATAGCTGAGGCCACTGTAGGTAGGCTTCCCACCCCCTGTAACTGAGTCCTAGAAAATGCAAACCACCTGGCTCTGACACATTGCCCTGGGGGAGATAGGGAGGGAAAAGCTGGTTCTGCTTTGATAACAAAAGGTGTTTCTCTGCTGGTCACAGGGGAGGGGTCAGGGAGGCACTTGAATGAATCTTAGCTACAGTCTGAGGCTGGTGGTTAGTATTATGTGCACCCACCAGGACAATACCT